TGCCTCAGACAGCTGCTACTCCTCAAGTTTCCCGGGCTGAGGCTGATGGACATGTTCACTCTGGGTAGCCCCTGTGGATTCTCCAGCTTCCTCTTCACCTTGGCTCTGTGCAGGAAGGGAGCAGTCCTCTCCTCTTTCCCAACTGGTGGCAGCTGTGAGTGTGACCAAACCTCTGTCAACATTTCATGAGACCACCTAGCCTGCATTGAATGATTTCCAGGAGGCTTCTTGAATCCCTCAGGTTCTCCAAACATTCAGCATTGGAAATGCCAGTTGCTACAGGGTCTGCGCAGCCCTCCAGCATGGTCTGCTCCACACTCAGGAACCCCTATGAGATGAACTGCCCTGGGCAGGGGCCTGCAGCTGTAGCAGAGGAACCAGGAGAATCACCCACAGCCCTGCAGGTTGTGGAGGATATCAGTTCCCCACTGGCCCCACGCTCTCATGCTGACATCACTCACAATGAGGTAAATGGGGATTTGTTAGAGCAGGAACCGTGAGGTGAAACCCTCCAGCAGGGCAGAGCACATCACTGAACCAGGAAGATGGCTTGGTTGGGGGAGTTGGAGGCTCTGAGGGCACCAAGGGCCCTCGATGATGCTGTCCAGCATCCTCTGGGACCTCCAGACCCCATTTCAGCCCCTGCCAGAGCTGATCCAGACCCTGACCTGCAGACTGGTTTCCTGGTTCTAAAAATGGGAAGTGTGGTTTGAGGTCTGACACCAAGAATTTGCTTGTGCTTGCCATCCTTTTCTGCCACCAAAAATCTCTCCTGAATCCTTGGCAGAAAGCTGAAAATACCCAAGAGGCTGAGCTGATTTGAGTATGGGATGAAGCTTGTTCTCCACCTTGTGCTCACAAGTAGCTCAGTGCCTGAAATGCTGGGGTTTCAACCCCAAGCCCCAAATTAAGGTTGACATGTGGGTGATTCCCACAGCCCTTCCCAGAGGGGGGATGAGTTTGCCTTTAGGCTTCCCTCCAGGGTGGTGCCAGCCTGGCAGACAGAGCCATTGGGTAAAGGAGCCCCAGGTGTCTGCAGTAAGTAACCCAAGGTCAGGTGTCCCACTGAGGGATAAAAGCTGGGACCCCTTGCAGGCAGGGGCAGTGTCTGTGTGTGAGGTGGATGCCCTGTGCAGAGTTCCCTGTTGGGGAAGGACCTCCTGCCTCCCTGGGACTGGGCTCCAGTCAGGTCTGGCTGTTGTAAGCATGGGCTGTGTAGGGATTAATTATGTGGCTTCCTTGATTTTATGTATTTGGCTTGACTCTGTTGTCTCCCATCCCCTCTACAAGAGACTGTATTTCACTGCTTATCCCACCCATTATTGGTCATGCGGTGGTGTTGTTGGGGTCAGTGGGATTGATGTCGATTAGGTATAATCTGACTGACTTGTTTGTATCCCAGCGCTCACCCATGTACTGACCCTTTTGTATCAAATCAAATTTGGTTGTTGGTTCATCTTTATGCTGACTGTGTCCTTTATGCTAGGCCTGGTAATTAGCAAAACAGTGCCAGCCTCTGCAGCAGGCAGCAGTTCTGCTAGACAATTAGGTATATTTGGCTACTTGGTTTTGTGTCAACAGTGAGGGACAAAAAATTTGAGTTGTAGCACTTGCATGAGCTGTAACACCCACAAGTGGTCCCTGTCTTGAGGGAACAAAGGAAACAACAGTGTCTTTTGCAATAACCAAAGCCTGGAGGAAGCATTACCCTCTTTCCTGTGAACTTCACTGTGGTAGCCACACACTAAAGGCTGTTTTGGGGGAAGTGCAGGAGAAGGAGGAAGTGTCTGAGGGAGAAAAGCAATGCTGGCAATTAGGTCTCTCTCACTCTTTCTTTGCCAGAAAAAAAACCCGTGACTACCAGATTTGGAGTTAAATCAGCATCTTCCAGTTGACTGAAACTAAGGTAAAAACCAGTAAACACAAACACTCCCCTGTCTTGCTGGGGGAGGATATTCTGAATTTATTTTTTCTTTGAAAAGCAGCATCATTTAGGCTGAGATGAGAGAAGGTTCATAGACATCAAAAAGGAAGGAGAAAAATTTCCTTAGCTCATGGAGTAACTCTTCACACAAACATCAGTTACTGTGACAAATGCGAACAATCCACTGGGGACAATACTAACACTGCATACTCATTCAAGCATTCCAAGAGCATGGGGTCGCACTCATTCATTTCTCCATGAAGCTTACCTGCCAGGTGACCTCTTTCCTTTGCCTTTCCACCCCTTTCTTTGGGCCAGGGAGTGTGGACAGAGACTGAGACCACCTTTCTTGAGAAAGGAGGTGTTCAGTAGGAGGGTTCTTTGGGGCTGTACAAGTGCAATACTCTTCAGAAAGCATCTTTGGGGCTATTGAAGAAGAATGTCAGGCAAATCAGCTCCTGCATCTGATAAAACAATCCAATTCCCTTGATATCATCATCTCAAAGAGGTCTCACTTTCTAGGAGGTCTTTGGCATAGCTCAGTAGCCTTTTAAAAATCATCTCCAGGCTATCTCCCCCACACACATTCAAGTGCACAGGATCTATGGGAGAGGTAGATTGCCCTACCCTTGGCAAATCAAGGCAGAGCCTCCTAAAATGAAGGAGCAGCTTGCAATATATACCAGGTACAGAGCCCTGGGGGAAAGTGTGTTACCATGAGTTCTGCTTCCATGGGTGACTTGAGCTTTGTTGTGTACAGCGAGGCACAAGAGATGCTGCCTTCCCTTCCAGGGCACCATGCTTGTCCTTGTCTTCAACCACGTACTGCTGAGGACTAAAGGAACACCTACACACAACACCTGCTTGTCCCCCCAACTCTCACAAGTCAGATGCAGTCATGGAGAGACTTGAGAAGGTCTCTCAAGGCTGATGCTTTCCAAAGCAGAATAAGAAACATCCTTGAGAGCTCTGATAGGAAACTAACTGGCACAGTCAAGACCTCCATAGATCAGAAACACATGAGAGGTCCTGTCAGTCTGCTCCAGGGCTTCCCAATCCTAACTCTGTTTACTCTCTCCCTGAAGACCATCTCTCACCCCCTCTTCCTGTTCATGGACATGAAGAACAGACTACTCTTTATGCAACTGGCCAAGGCTGGTTTGAATTCTAACACTGCCTTGCAGCTCACTTGCAGACCCTCTCAAACTCATGTCAGGGCGTCTGTAATGCATAACCATCGTTCCCATGGCCATTAAGGACAATACTGAGCAGCCCCAGGCTCGGGTCAGAGCTCTGAGGAACTCCACTCAAGCACAGGAGAGGAAATCACTCCTCCTGTCCCCTAGAGACTTGGGAAGCAGGCATTTACAGACACTTGGGGCCCTCAAGTCTCACCAAAGTCACAGCTATGTCACAAACATAGGACTTGTATGAATCTGGTACCTACTCAGGGACACTTTTCCTGTATAATTCTTGTGCACGAAATTCTGGGGTCTTTCCATTTTGAAATTGCACCCCGAAGAAGTGAATCAGGGAAAACCTTATGGAAAATGTTGCCTCAGTTCCTCAACCAATGAGGAGCCAACATACTGTGGCAACATGAAGATGCCACCAGGACCCATGTCAAAATCAGGACTTTCTCTCTCTGATACCACCAGATGTCTTCTCCCTGGGGTCTGAAACAGAGAGATGTGAGAGCTGGGAAGTGGGCAGCAAGGCAGGGGTGGAGGAAGGTCCTCAGGAAGAGGATCCAGGAGTCCTGGTTGCCAAACCGATCCCTGAGCTAGGAAGGGATGATCAGACAGGGCTCTTGCTGCACCCATCAGCTCTGTTGAGTCCTCCTGCAAAAGCTCCAGTGTTTCCACAGCTACTTTCATAGTTAATCTTGTCTACAACATTCAGAAAATAACTTCTGTGAGCCTCACCACCAGAGGTGAGTTTCTTGAGCACTGGAAACACATTTGGCCATAGATTTTCCATCTTTGTCCCCCCCACCTCCCTGTGTTTACTCCTGTAGTAGGAGAGTAAGAAGGAAAAGTCTTCTCCATGATCTCCACCTCCTTCTTTGATTTCACCAAAGGCCCTCCAGCTCCATCCTGACATGGAATGTGACCCCAGATCATGTCACTGAGGGGCTACAAGACCTCCCTGACCCCTCCTTAACCCCCTCAAATGCTGCCAAGTTTTGCCCTACAAGAGGGAGACGAGGTGTGGTGGGTGTTGTGGAGTGTTACCCCCACCTCACTGTCCATTCCTCAAGGGAAATGGGGGGTCATTGAGACCCCTGGGGGGGGGTCCCCAGTCAGGGGCTCCCCCTGTGCACTCCAGATGCACTGGTCAGCTCATTGGTCCTGACTGGAGAGGCTGTGCCAGCGTTGCTGGCATGGGGTCTACGCACACAGACATGTTCCAGTTCCTGGGATATGGACAAGGCTCAGAGATGGATGCAGCTTCTTCAGTCCTGGGATTCTGCGGGGGCTCAGTGACCCCTTTATGGGGTTTCTCTTTCTGTGAGAGAGCAGCAGGAGTACGTGGAGCTCTGCCTGGGGATGGCTGATGAGCCAACTGGGAGCTTATGGGTGAGGATTAAGGGGAAGACTGGGATGGGTGCCAATGTAATGGGTGTCTGCTGTAGGCTGCCTGATTAGGAGGAACAAGTGCATGGGGCCTTCTACAGACAGCCAGAAGTAGCCTCATGTTTGCAGGTCCTGGTCTTCATGGGGTATTTTAACGACCCTGATATCTGCTGGAGGAACAATGCAGCAGGGCAAAAGCAACCCAGGAGGTTCCCAAAGGGCACTGGTGATAAATTCCTGGCATACTTGATAGAAGAGCCAACGAGGAGCAGCCCTCTGTTTGCCCTTGTACTCACAAAGAAGGGTTCACTGGGAGGGATGACTGATGCAGCAGAAGGTTGTGGTGCCATTCAGAGGGAGAGCTGTGGGATGAGCTCCTCTGTGCTCAGGGAAAAAGCCCTACCAGGATGATGACCAGGCCCCCAGACAGAGGAGATCAGACATTCTTAGTACAAGTATATTGAGAAATAACTCTGAGAAGTTGTCTCAAAGAATAGTGAATACTCTCACAATAATAGTTAAAAGGAGTTCAAGAGGAAGGCTCAAACAGTGCTATTTATTGTTTACAGACACAAATTTATTAAGACACAGGGACAATTTGGTGCATCAGAAAAGGGACCTGCTGATATCTTACCAGGGCACAACTTTCCCCTTCCAGTCCAAGAAGGTCCCAGTCTCCTTCTCAGAGAGGGAGGAGAGCACCTTCAGCATCCCTCCCACGCTCTCCTCCACTGTCACAGGGGGCTGCGTGGCAGAAGGAGAAACACAGACATGAGACAAAGGCCTGGATAAGGTTTGCCCTGGAGCAGGTCATTGCTCAGGGCTTGAGGTCTCTGGAGTGAGTGAGAAGAGGACAGCACAGGGCAAGAAGAGTTCCCCATTTCTCATCTCCTTCCTTCATATGCCTCCAGGTCAGAGTATCTGCCAAAGAGCTCCCCTAGAGCTCGGTACATCTGGGACTGTTCAATCAAAGCAAGCTCTGCATTCCCAAATAGAAAGGTTCTTCCAGACCTTGGCCCAAGGCTCTCCTACCTTTTGTGATGCTGTGCCCCCCATGTTGGTTTGCACCCAGCCAGGGTGGAGAGCAACGCAGAGGACGCCATGCTGCCGGTAGCCCAGGGACTGGCACTTGGTCAGCATGTTCAGAGCAGCCTGTGAGGAGACAGGGCAGGGACGGCGGTGGGAGGGGAAGGGTGGCTGCAAGGGGACATGTGCAGACCCCACGGATGGGGCAGGGCAGGGCAGGTGGTGGCAGCTCCCGGGGGCACAGTTTGGTCCTGCACTATCCTCATGGATATGCCCAGCCCAGCCAAGGGCCTGTCCCAGCATGTCCCTCTGAGGCACAACTCAGGCATGGGAATGTGCCTTGAGAGGGACCCAGTGACTGTCAGGAGCTCAGTCACAGTGCAGAGAGGTGAAGGGGCTGAGGGGAGGTTGGAAGTCATGGAGATCATTTGCAGAGGAATGTGTCTGTGCTCATGCCCACTGCAGTGTGGCAATACCTTACTGCAGCGGTACGAGACAGCTTGTCCATAATTCCATAAATAAGGATCCTCAATGGAGCCCGCAGAGCTGGACATGTTGATGATGGCTGCCTTGCTGCAGCTCAGTGCTGAGCCTGGGCTCCCCTGAGCAGCTTTCTTCAGCAAGGGCAGGAATGCCTGTGGGGAGAAGAGAGGACATAGGGCCATGCACAGAGATGGCACACGGGGGAGGACCAGCTCTTCCAGCAGGCAACATTGGCATCAGCACTGTACCATCCTCCCTCCCCTTCCCAATCACCCAGCCCACCAGGCTCCAGCTCCTGAGCTCCAGCCCATGCCTGCACGACCATGTTGACGGAGGGTCCATCAGCACAGGAGTGGAGCCAGGACCCTCTCCCAGTGGCCGGTTGTGTCCCCTGGAACAGCCCAGCTCAGGGAGGCAGGGCCATGGGAAGGGATGTTCCCTGGAGCTGCACTGCAGTGCTGGGGGCGAGGGACTCACCTGGCCCAGCAGCAGGGGCCCAACCGTGTTGGTGGTGTACACCTGGGTCATGTCCTCCAGTGTCTCATTATCAAGTGAGTTTGGCTTTGCAATCCCAGCGTTGTTGATGAGGAGGGTCAGTCCTGAGCCCCCCAGGTGCTCCCCAACTCTGTCTGCAGCTGCCTTGATGCTGGCGGTATCCGTGACTTCTGCAGAGCCAACACAAGGCAGGTCAGTGTTCCCATATTATCTTGGGGGTCCCCTTTTCTGCCCATACATGTGCCCTCATGGCTCGAGGCAGGCAGGAGGGATGGCAGTGCCTGGTGTCACCACGGCTCCATCCCCAGGGTGGGCGCTTGCCAGAGGAACTGGGGCGAGGGACCCTCACCTCGGGGCACCTACCGAGTGGAATGATGACCAGGTTGGGGTGCTTGGAGGCCAAATTCTGTAGCTCCTGCAAAAGAGGGGACCAGGTGGGCATGGCGAGGCAGGAGGGGCTGCACAGAAGCTCAGCCTTTCCCAGGTAAAGCCCGTGTTGCTCCGGCTCCGTCCCTGCACCGCCTCACACCCAGCACCCTGCTTCGGCTGCCCTGCTCCCATGGGATGCCTCCCAACAAACACACCATGCCCACTGCTTCATGCCCCAGCCTGCTGGGCCAGACAGAAGCCCTTGAGGAGATGGCAAGCAGTAAGTTTCCGCTTTTGGCCCTGAGGAGCCCTGTGACCTCCGCACATCCCACACATGGCTGGTCCCGCAGCTGTCCCAGCCCGGCTGCCCTGTGCCGTGGGTGCCCGGCTGCAGCTCAAGCCCTTTGCAAACCCCCGCCCGGCTCCAACTTCTGCCCTGGCACCGAGTGCTCCCGTCCCCCAGTATGACCCACTGCGTCCCAGCCCAGACCCACCTGCGCTCGCTGTCCCTTGGGGTCCCGACAAGCCGCAAAGACCCACTTGGGTGGATTTGGCATCCCCAGGAAATGCCGGACAAGCCCCAGGCCGATTCCCCGGTTGGCCCCAGTCACCAGAACGGAGTGGATGCGAAGCTCTCCCATGTTGCTTCTCCTCTCTCTGCTCCAGTTGCACTGTTTGCTCAGCTCCCTAATGCTTCTTCATAGCATGTTCCACGGCCACCCCACCCACTCAGAGCTTGCACAAATACTTGGTTCCAGGTACACCTTCTCCCGCTCTTTGACCTCTAGGACATAGATCCTGGCTGTCAACCAACTTTCCTTATGAAAGGGCAAAAATCACTTGGCTTTTTCAGGCAAACTGAGATGACCTTAGGAAACCTGGCCCCATAATCTGGGAGCTACTGGCCAGTCTGGCCAGGAGAGGCTGTTGTGGGTGAGGAGGTAGGGAGGAGCATGTGAGATGGATGTGGGATGCTCCACAGCTTGGGTGGGCTTTACAGCTTAACAAGATGGGCTTTCCACATCATATCCACATAACACTGGACACAGGCTGATCTCATTCCTCTTCCCTGGCTCCCCTGAGCCAGGTCATGCCTCAGATATCCATGATGAGACATTCTCTGCCTTGCTCTTGCCTCTCCCAAGCCAATGCCCATTCACTGATTGTCCCATGAAAGACCTGTGGAGTTAAACAAATCCACTGTATTGTACTGGTGGAAGGATGTGGACCTTCATGACCTGCCCATCACCACGCTGCTGGTCATGCACTCCATCCCCTGGGGTTCTCCCTCCATATGCACTAAGCTCAGCAACTGCCCCACCACTTCTGATGTGCTGAGGCTATCGCTGATGTCAGGATCCACTTTCTGCCTTGCCACTTTGCAAACTAACTCATGTTATTGTGCCTCACATTTGTGGCTTTTCTCATGCTTGTTTGGGGAAGGATAAAAGTTTAGGGTTTAACGCAAAAGCTCGAATGAGCCTCAGGTGTGTCTGAAGGCTGCGTAGTCTCATCTGAGGGGCCGAGGCCTTAAACTCCTCATCAGCACAACAAGTGTCAATCCATGTGGCACGCTACCACCTGTGAATTCAGTACATGCAGTGTCACCTCAGCTGGGTGGCCTCTTGCTCTCTCAAACAAGACAGACTGATGGGAACAAGGCCACGACGGCGGGTCTCTTCTGCACACCCAGAGAGGACGGGAGGCAGCCCAGCCCCAGCATGGCCCAGGCTTCGCTGGCTGTACCGGCACACTCCTTCCCTGGGGCAGGGAAAGGCTGGAGCCTGGCCCCTCCATGGGGCATCCTCCCAATCCCCTGTCCTTCTGCTGGGGGTGTCTGTCCAGCTGCTCGTCCACGGCCTGTGACAGAGGCCTCCAGGGCCCCTCAAGCTCGGGGCTTGTCACGCATTGACAAAGCCCGGGTGTCTTTGTGCCAGGAGTTTTTGCCGCTGCTGGAGAAGGCAGCGAAGGGCACGGGGCAGGAGGGGCTGAGCTGCAGCAGGGCCGCGGTCATCAACGTCTCCACCAAACTGGGCTCCATCGGGCTGTGCCTCGGCGTGCTGGAGGCCCCCATGTACCCGTACCGTGCCAGCAAGGTGAGGTGCCAGGGGAGGTGCTGGGATGCTCTGCTGTGCGCTGTGCCCATGGAGGGGAGCCCAAGGGGCACCCCCTGCCCCCGGCCACCCACCCCCTGCCTGGCTCTCCCAAGCATAAGCACGGACACTGAGACAGCAGCACCCAGGACTGAGCCTTTCAGGTGGGCTGTGCCAATGCTTTAGCCCAGGGCAAAGCCCCATTGCCCACCTCCACAGCCATTTTCTGGCTGGGAGATGTCCCCCCTCCTGCCCACCCGTGCCCTGAGTCATGCTGGCATGGCGGTGCCTCTTCCAGGCCGCCCAGAACATGGTGACGAGGTGCATGGCTACAGAGCTCCAAGACAAGGGGATCTTGTGCACGGCCATCCATCCTGGCTGAGTGAAGACAGACATGGGGACGCAGAAGGTACTGGGCTGTGCAGGGGAGGGTCGGCAGGACCCCCGCTGTACCCCCAGCTCTCGGGGAGGGCAGGGGCACTTGGGGCAGGGGATGCTGTATGATGCTGTGGGCTGCCAGGACCATCTGCTGGGGTGGAGCAGGCAGGGAGCAGGCAGCAAGCTGCCAAGTGTGGGGATCGCCAGCCCTGTCCCCCCACCCAGCACAGAGAGCAGGAGGCTGGCAGTAAGGAAGAAATACCCCCAGGAGCACCATGGCTGCTGCTCCCCAGGCTGTGCAGCCTCTGCTCTGCCCAAGCCCGGCAGCTTTCCATGCAGGTCGCAGCCCGCGGCAGTGATGCTGCGCCTTCTCCTTCTCTGCAGGCGCCGCTGACAGTGGAGCGCAGCGTGCGGGGTATCCTGGCTGTGCTGGCCAGCCTCTCGCAGGACACCTCCGGAGCCTTCCTTGACTGGGAAGGGAATAGCCTGCCCTGGTGACGGACAGACGGACGGCGCCTCTTCCCCTGCTGCAGTCTCCCGCTCGTCGGCTCAGCCCTCTGCGTGGTCACCCTGCTCGCCCCCAGCCCGCCCCGGGCTGCCAGGGAGAGAGGAAGGCCACGGGAAGCAGCTTCTGCCCCCTTCCCCACCCCACGCACGGCCCTGCAGCCCCCCTGTACCCCCCCCTCTGTAAACACCGGGAGCTGATGCTTCTCTGCTCTGTCTCCACACTCCCAGCCTCAAACCTCCCGGCGAAGCCCGGCGCACGCTCCCTGTGCCCTGTGTCCGTCTGTCCTGCCTGCGACCAGACATCCCCCAACTGAGGGCAGAGGGCAGCTGGTCCCTGCGACTCCCAGCCCCTCGGGCACCCCAGGCTGAGCACAAGCTTGGCAGGGGGCTTTCAGATCTCTCTGGTGCCAGGAGAGGGGCTCTGCCCCGGCACATCTCCAGAGGGCGGTCACGGTGCCACAGCACCCGAAGGCTGTCACTCGTGGGGACCCCAGCGACAGCCATGGGTTGGGTGGGTGGCTGCGGGCTCTGCTGCAGCCCGGGATGGGGAGTGGGGACGCCGGGAAGGGGTCACCCCTGCAAGCTGGCAGTGCGCAGCAGAGCCAGTGGCTCTCAGGCAGGAGTTTATTGAGGACGTGGGGCAGGTGGGAGCAGCGGCACAGGACCCGCTGCCAGGAGGCCGGGTCGGTGTCTCACCAGGGCACGACCTTCCCTTCCCAGTCCAGGAAGGTGCCAGTGTCCTTCTCAGAGAGGGAGGAGAGCACCTTCAGCATCCCTCCCACGCTGGCGTCCACCGTCACGGGGGGCTGCGGGCAGAGGGGGAGAGGCAGCTTGAACCCAAGGTCTGGCTAAGGGCTGCCCTGGAGCAGCCAGGACCAGGGGAAGGAGCTGCTCGAGGGCAAGGGGAAAGCCACCAGCTCCGGGCAGAGGGGCCGAGCAGGGAGCTGAGGGGACGGGGGCACCAGGCACCCAGGGCCAGGGCAGGGGGAGCTGCCCAGGCAGGGATGGGGCAGGCAGGGAGGTCGTGGTCAGGGCTCAGGGCAGCAGCTCCCTCCCGTGGAAGATCAGCACAGGGGCTCTGAGGGACCCACCATGATGAAACTCCTACCGTGTGTCCGGCGGAGGCTCCCATGTCGGTTTGCACCCAGCCAGGGTGGAGAGCAACGCAGAGGACGCCGTGCTGCCGGTAGCCCAGGGACTGGCACTTGGTCAGCATGTTCAGAGCAGCCTGTGAGGAGACAGGGCAGGGACGGCGGTGGGAGGGGAAGGGTGGCTGCAAGGGGACATGTGCAGACCCCACGGATGGGGCAGGACAGGGCAGGTGGTGGCAGCTCCCGGGGGCACAGTTTGGTCCTGCACTATCCTCATGGATATGCCCAGCCCAGCCAAGGGCCTGTCCCAGCATGTCCCTCTGAGGCACAACTCAGGCATGGGAATGTGCCTTGAGAGGGACCCAGTGACTGTCAGGAGCTCAGTCACAGTGCAGAGAGGTGAAGGGGCTGAGGGGAGGTTGGAAGTCATGGAGATCATTTGCAGAGGAATGTGTCTGTGCTCATGCCCACTGCAGTGTGGCAATACCTTACTGCAGCGGTACGAGACAGCTTGTCCATAATTCCATAAATAAGGATCCTCAATGGAGCCCGCAGAGCTGGACATGTTGATGATGGCTGCCTTGCTGCAGCTCAGTGCTGAGCCTGGGCTCCCCTGAGCAGCTTTCTTCAGCAAGGGCAGGAATGCCTGTGGGGAGAAGAGAGGACATAGGGCCATGCACAGAGATGGCACACGGGGGAGGACCAGCTCTTCCAGCAGGCAACATTGGCATCAGCACTGTACCATCCTCCCTCCCCTTCCCAATCACCCAGCCCACCAGGCTCCAGCTCCTGAGCTCAGCCTGAAGCTCCATCAGCTCTCACTGCCTGAGAGCTCGTTATGCACCAGAGTGGAGCCAGGACGCCCTCACACCAGCCCTTCATGCCTCCCTGGAACAGCCAAGCTCAGGTGAGGGACTCACCTGGCCCAGCAGCAGGGGCCCAACCGTGTTGGTGGTGTACACCTCGGTCATGTCCTCCAGTGTCTCATTATCAAGTGAGTTTGGCTTTGCAATCCCAGCGTTGTTGATGAGGAGGGTCAGTCCTGAGCCCCCCAGGTGCTCCCCAACTCTGTCTGCAGCTGCCTTGATGCTGGCGGTATCCGTGACTTCTGCAGAGCCAACACAAGGCAGGTCAGTGTTCCCATATTATCTTGGGGGTCCCCTTTTCTGCCCATACATGTGCCCTCATGGCTCGAGGCAGGCAGGAGGGATGGCAGTGCCTGGTGTCACCACGGCTCCATCCCCAGGGTGGGCGCTTGCCAGAGGAACTGGGGCGAGGGACCCTCACCTCGGGGCACCTACCGAGTGGAATGATGACCAGGTTGGGGTGCTTGGAGGCCAAATTCTGTAGCTCCTGCAAAAGAGGGGACCAGGTGGGCATGGCGAGGCAGGAGAGGCTGCACAGAAGCTCAGCCTTTCCCAGGTAAAGCCCGTGTTGCTCCGGCTCCGTCCCTGCACCGCCTCACACCCAGCACCCTGCTTCGGCTGCCCTGCTCCCATGGGATGCCTCCCAACAAACACACCATGCCCACTGCTTCATGCCCCAGCCTGCTGGGCCAGACAGAAGCCCTTGAGGAGATGGCAAGCAGTAAGTTTCCACTTTTGGCCCTGAGGAGCCCTGTGACCTCCGCACATCCCACACATGGCTGGTCCCGCAGCTGTCCCAGCCCGGCTGCCCTGTGCCGTGGGTGCCCGGCTGCAGCTCAAGCCCTTTGCAAACCCCCGCCCGGCTCCAACTTCTGCCCTGGCACCGAGTGCTCCCGTCCCCCAGTATGACCCACTGCGTCCCAGCCCAGACCCACCTGCGCTCGCTGTCCCTTGGGGTCCCGACAAGCCGCAAAGACCCACTTGGGTGGATTTGGCATCCCCAGGAAATGCCGGACAAGCCCCAGGCCGATTCCCCGGTTGGCCCCAGTCACCAGAACGGAGTGGATGCGAAGCTCTCCCATGTTGCTTCTCCTCTCTCTGCTCCAGTTGCACTGTTTGCTCAGCTCCCTAATGCTTCCTCATAGCATGTTCCACGGCCACCCCACCCACTCAGAGCTTGCACAAATACTTGGTTCCAGGTACACCTTCTCCCGCTCTTTGACCTCTAGGACATAGATCCTGGCTGTCAACCAACTTTCCTTATGAAAGGGCAAAAATCACTTGGCTTTTTCAGGCAAACTGAGATGACCTTAGGAAACCTGGCCCCATAATCTGGGAGCTACTGGCCAGTCTGGCCAGGAGAGGCTGTTGTGGGTGAGGATGGAGGGAGGAGCACGTAGGAGGGATATGGGATATCCCACAGCTTGGGTGGGCTTTACAGGCTTTCCACATCACACAAGGCATGCCTCAGATGTCCATGAATGGACATTCTCTGCCTTGCTCTTGCCTCTTGCAGGCCAATGCCCATTCACTGATTGTCCCATGAAAGACCCATAGAGTGGGGCAAGTCCAGCATGGTGTACTGGCTGAACGATGTGGACCTGCATGGCCTGCACATCACCATGGTCTTCGTCATGAGCTACATCCCTTGGGTTCAATCCTAAATTGAGCGGTCACTCTGCCCAGAGTCACAGAGGTCTCAGGTGCCTGGGACATTCTCCTGCAAAGAGAAATGCCATGGTCAAATCCCAGAGGCATGGGGCACTGACAGTTCTGTGCTATCACTAGTGAAGCCCAGTGCTGCCCAGTACCTCAAGTGAGGCATTACAGATTTGCAGGGCTGGGACTGGTGTGCTTGCACATCATGTGTTCCTCATCCACCTCAAGTGAAGACATATCCCCAGAAACCTCTCACCAACCCCTTGCTTTCAAGCACTGTGTCCCAGAGCTGCTGCAGAGGCTGCTGGGCAGCAATGACACTGCTGTGTCACCTTCTGCCCCAGGATGTCTTGGCAGCAGCATTAACCAGAGCTTCTTGCTCCCAGCTGCAGGGCCCATTGAGCCCTCATGACCCAGCAGCTGCTGCTTTCCTCCTCCCCACTCCTTTCTGTATTCTGGGGCTCTGCTGGTGGATACCATGAGGCAGGCATGTCCTCACCACAGACCTGGCAAAATCCTGCCCAGGGCACCATCTCCAATCCCAGTCAGGGGGCACACAGCTTGAGACCGTGGTAAGGATGCCCGTTTGATGGCTCAGCTCTGCCATGCTCTCATTCCTACACTTGTTTCTGACTTGGTTCTGCTCTGAGACTGCAGCTCATACTGCTGCTGCACCCACCTTCCCCCCAAACAAAACTACTTTAAAGTACAGATATGCCAAGGTTTGGTCCCGGGGAGCCCTCTGCACCTCAGGCCAGTTGTGTGGTCACAGTGCCACCAAAACAGGCAGTCCTGTCCTGCCTCACTCACCTCCTCACATTGTATTTGGACAGCTGACTCAAGGGCCGATCATGGACCTGACCATGCTCTGGCTGCCTCTAGATGCAATGGAGGGGAGGATGCTGCCACCAGTCCCTCCCAAAGAAGGGATGAACCCTATTATGGTGACAGCATCCACTGTGCCTCTTCTGTGTCTGGCACTGCATGGTCCAGCTGCATGAGGGATGGAGCCTTCCCTCCCATCCTGCCTTCTCCAGGCTGTCCCCCAGGCTGCAGCTCACAGAATCATCTCAGTTGGAAGGGACCTTGAAGCTCCTCCAGTCCAACCATGAACCTCACCCTGACTGTTCCCAACTCCACCAGATCCCTCAGCGCTGGCTCAGCCCGACTCTTCAACCCCTCCAGGGATGGGGACTCCCCCCTGCCCTGGGCAGCCCATTCCAATGCCCAACAGCCCCTTCTGCACAGAAATCCTTCCTCAGAGCCAGTCTGACCCTGCCCTGGGCAGCTTGAGGCCATTCCCTCTTGTCCTGGTGCTGGTTCCTTGGCTCAAGAGACTCATCCCCCCTCTCTGCACCCTCCTGTCAGGGAGCTGTAGAGGGCCAGAAGGTCTCCCCTCAGCCTCCTCTTCTCCAGACTAAACCCCCCCAGTTCCCTGACCCGCTCCCCATCAGACCTGTGCTCCAGACCCTGCCCCAGCTCCGTTGCCCTTCTCTGGACACACTCGAGTCATTCAGTGGCCTTTTTGTAGTGAGGGGCCCAAAACTGAACCCAGTCATTGAGGTGCAGCCTCACCAGTGCCAAGCACAGGGGTAAGATCCCTCCCCTGTCCCTGCTGGCCACGCTATTGCTGACACAAGCCAGGATGCCACTGGCCCTTCTTGGCTCGGGCAGTCGCAGTACACATCAATCCAGCACAGAGGGACTGGTGAGTGGTGTTCATCAAATCACCACAGAGCACATCTAAATCTGGATGTCAGGCCTTTGTGGAATATTCTCATCGACAGCAATCAGTTCTTTCCCAGATATGTTAAAAACTAATTGAATGAAGCATATTCCTTTTCCAAAAGGCATATTTACCAAATAGCAGTGTTCTAAAAACACTTTTTACATGCCACAAATTACAGGTGAAAATTTCTCTGATTTGTTTTTGCTAGGCTCCTAATACAGAAATTTGCAATTTCTGCTGTGGTGGTGTTGAAATACCATCACCATGTACTTGTTTGAGAGAGAAATTAATTTTGCACAACACCTCACAGCATCTCAGCATAAGATACTAAATCCCTTTGATATTCCTGCTCTGCCAGATGGATCTGGCACCCACATCTCTCTCCAGCTCTAAGGAGTTTTGTAATTCCCCCTGTACCCCAGGACATGCAGGTTGGCAACAGCCTCAGCTGCTGTAGAAAGCTTTGTCAGCAGCTGTTCATTTGCTTTCACATCCTCAGAGTAAAGTTCACCTTTTTTTTTTGCTTAGTGTAAATCCTGAGATAAAGCCCAAGTGACAGAAATGCACACAAACACATGGTGCTCTCTGGCACGGCAAATGAAAAAAAATCTTTGTGGGCAGGTGATAGCCAGTGTTTCCCCTTCTGGTTCCTGTGGAAAATGTTCCCTGCTAATGTATTTGTTTAGTTCCTCTGCTGTTATTCATAAGACTTTGCATACAGGTACAATATCAGCATGTTGAGCACCCACACATTCCAGTTATTTGGACAACCTCATGGCAACCAAGACTGTGGTTTTACCCTTCTCCCTTCTACTGCCTGTAGCTTTTCTTCCATGGCAATGTCCCTTTCGGTGGTTCCGCAGTACTTTCTACGCCAGCATCCCATGAAGTGCTCTTGTTTTGATGGCCACCTAGTGCTGTGCTGTTCAGCTTCTAGGTGAAATATTCCTCCGTGGGAACACAGCAGCAGCAATTGGCTCTGTCCCTCCTGGGCATTTGCAGTTGTACTTGGGAGCTGATCTTCTCTCTTCCTCCTTCCTCAGTCCTGCCAAGTCTCAGCTTCTCCTGAAGCTCTGCCCATTTCATTTTTTTCCATCTTCTTTCCTAAGGCCAATCAGATCTCCTTCTGCTTTTCTGATCCTCCACATAGGGTTGAGAGACTCATTTTGCCTTGTGAGTTCCTAACACTGATCAACAGTGCAAAGCTCTGGGTCTCCCAGCTGTCTCAGACTGACCTCTCACTCAGAATTCTCCCTACCTCTCTCAAATTGCAGGACTGGCTTTCAGGCTCTGACAGATCATTTCAACTGCCTTTTCTATATTTTTACTTTTTACTGACCACAGACAACAACTATACTTGCTGATACATGCTATTTGCATGAGAGCTCTGCTCCTCCAAGCAGACTTCCATGGTAGGTGAAGGATGAGGCCATCACTCACAGTCTGTTGGAAACCTCCACAGTGCCTCAGAACCAAACAGCATCAGAAACAAACCTTTAAATCTCCTATTTTTGAAGTGCCACCCCATTTCTATAGCCTTTGACTGGTTGGGATTTGTAACTTTATAATGTTGACTTTGCTCTGGGGCCCCATGCTGCATTGTGGATCATTAAAGTTTAAAGTTGATCATTAGAGTTTAAACAAGCACTGCTTCTTCAGGAGTCAGAGTCCAACCTGGCACGAAGAGGCAGAGGAGGAAGCAACCAGCCTTGACTGACTCACAGCTCAGCCTCTTCACAAGCACTGCTGCTGTCCCTAAGCCTCTGGAAGGGACCTCAGACCAGCTCCTAACAAAAGAGATTCAGATGGTTCTTTCGCTCTGAAATGTTCCTGAATGGTCTAAACCTTAAGCTGAGCATTAAGGTCCTTCTGTACACTTCTCTCCCATAACCTCTCAGACATCTGTGTGTGGATGCTTTCCATCTCACCACACTAGGAAGACTCAGAGCCAGTTTTCCAAGGTGCAGTCACACGTCCTTCACTGTCAGCTGCTGAAAGCTCAGGTGTGCTCCCACTCACCCAGATGTTTGCACAAAGGGCAAGCATGGTGCTGCTTACAGAAGTATTGAAAAATATGCTTTTGTTTGTTAACGAGAGGAGTGGGTGTGTGACACAATTATCTTTAGTACATTTAATCCACTGTATAAGTAAGATTAAATTCAATACTATTTATCAAGTCCATTTGCTCCATTATGTATTCAGGGCTGATTTGGGCCATGTTATCACTTGCTGAAGAATCACTAGATAGTGATGAGTGAACTGTCAATCAAGCAGTGGGGTGAGACCTACCCAGCCCTGTAACTGTTTGAGGCTGGGCAGGTCATGTTCACCCTCCATGACTAATTTTCTTTTTGGCTGAAGACTAGTGACACCCCATTGTGGAGGGATCCTGCAGGAACTGAGGGTGAGAGCCTGAGCTTAAATGTAGTTCCCAAGCAAAGTGAAGAGGTCCCAAGTAAGGCTTCTCAGGGCCCTTTTTCATAGCTTTGCTATTTTCCCAGCAGACTGATCCAGGTTACACCTTCATTACATCAGAGCTGGCCTTGAGCCCTGGAACCCAAATGGCTGGCAATCAGGGAAAGCAGATGCAAAGCACTCAGGACCCTGGCACAGCAAATGGTGTCTTAACATGAGAAGAAACCGAGGCTGAGGCAGGTTTCCAAGCAGCCTCTTCCCAGGGCAGAGGACAGCTACAGGAAGTGCTGGGTTTCTTAAGATCCAGATGAATCTGTGGGGAACCATATCCCACTTGTGGCTA